TGGTTTGTGGTGGCTTGGCCAAGCCTTTAGTGATAGGTTTGCCAGGATGAAATAAAAGTCGTGTTGGTGTCTTGTTTTTCTAAAGGAAGAGGAAGGGACAGCATTTATTTTTATAGTGACTCATGGTTCACTATATCTTTCTGTCTGTGGGTGATACCTGAGCATGGCAAATTCAAGAAACTCACTCATGCAAAATTTCTTTGAGAAGAGATTTCTTTAAAGGATGACTGATTGGGGTACTTGCTTCTCTGGTGATTTTTGGCAACTGACAAGGAAGGCAGTGATGGGATCCCACTTACTCCCCAAAACAACATAGCACTGGCACAAAATCAGGCAAGTAGACCATGGAGTATAGGAGAAAACAGAAACAACTTCATACACCTTCAGCAAGAAGGGGCCAGGAGCAGACACTGAAGAAAAATACAGCCTGTAACAAGTGGTTCTGGGAAAACTGGATCCCTAGCTCTCACCCTGTACTAAAACCAAATCAAAATGGTTACAGAGCTAAATACAGTAATGCCTCGGCTCATGAATGCTTCTGTTTTCAAACAATTGTCAAACAAAAGCGTTTAGCAAAATGTTTCTTCCATTTGCAAATTCCACACTGGAACAAACACAACCAGTGCCATCTTTCTCATAATCAAAAGACAAATTAAGTTTGTAAACCGAGGTGCCACTGTATAAAACCAGAAATGACGGAAGATAATATAGGGAGAAACAATGTCCAGTTAATTCCCATTCTAGAACAGTATGTTTACCGAAGGGATGTCCAGTTGGTTTCCACGCACTTGATAGAAAGTTGTTTTCCTCTGAGGTAACCCCTCCAGCATTGCTCCTCTTCATGGACCAGGCAACTCCAAGCACTTGAGCTTCGCAAGTCTTGGGGCTCCTCAGAATCAGCTCGGGAGACCACTGAAACTTTCGGATAGCTGGGGCCACCCCAGGAGATTCAGGTTCAGGAGCCAAGCAAGGAGCCTGGAAAGTCAAATTTACAATAAGCCCCTAGGTCTCTTTACCTATGACCCCAGTTTCTTTATTACGAAACTGGGATAATGACACTTACTTTGCAAGGCTGCTGGGCAGATTAGAAAAAGATGAAAAACAGGAATACGGTCACAGTACAAAGCCCGGAATTGAAATTTCTTAACTAATTCCCACACTGGGGCTGTAACAGTGAGAAGGGCTCGAAGGTTTCCAGAGATGACACCAGAGCAATGCTGAAGAAGCAACAGAAACAGCAAGGCATCTACAGGGAGAAAGCAGTGGGGAAGAAGGAAGGGGACATTGTTCCTGAAGTAAAGAAATATTGTGCACCAAAACCGTACAGCAGCTAACTGCAAGAGGTGCCAGGAGCTGCACTTGGCCGAAGCCCGCGGTGGGTCACATGCGCACGTGCAGGGCCTTGTTGACAAGGGGCCTTCTGTGTTATGCTAAGGCATTTCGGTGCTGTTTGGAAGAAAATGGAAAACCATCTGATGTTTTTAAAGTTTGTGTCTTGAGTTGATTGTGGTGCAAACTACTAAGGACTCAGAAGAACCCGTTCCTGGGGAAGCAGATAAAGAGTTAAACGCCGGACATGTTAAATTCAAGGCATCCACAAGTCACCCACATAGTGACACCAGGGAATGGCTGAATATGTGGACATAGATGTTCTAGGTGTAGTGATGGTGAACCTTTTAGAGCTTTCCGTGATAAGCAATAGCCTCCCATGGCACTTGTGCCTTAGATTCTATACCACTGTCTTGACCCAGCAAAGTAGATGACTTGAGTACCTAGGTAGAAGTTATGGCCACAGAAGTAGATAGAGTGGGCCCAGGAGGATATATAAATAGGCCAACCCGAGACAAGACCAGAGGACAGAACTCTGAAGAGTCACAGTACCCAAGAGCCCAAGTCAATGCAGACAATGAGACAGAAGATGAGCAAGGCTGTATTGAATGAATGTACCACTTTCCCCAAATGAATCACACCATTCTGCATTACCAATATGCTGTAATAAAAATGTTTTGTTTTTCTGAAAACAGGCTAGGGATGCAGGTCAGTCCTCCTTGAATCCTACTCAGTATAAGGGTAGAAAGAGAGTTCTATGGACGAGAATGAGCTCAAAAATGAAAGTTAAAAATTTTTGGAAGTGATTTCACTGCACTGAGTAAAACAGTGATCCAGGAATTTAATTGGCTAAGTACAATGTATGATTGAAAAGTCTTTTCCAGCAGGAATCTGTTAGACGGTTTGTTTTTTTCCTCTCGTGCTTGTAAAAATGGAATCAAAGTGTCCCCAGAATAAAACCATCTTTTGTGTGGGAACAAAAGAAAGAAATTAACTGGAGACTAAACCATAATGTGTGGTTATTCAGGCAATGCAAATATAAGCAAATGCACTGCTGCGCTTTAGGGAACTCCTCTTCGAAACCATGACTATAGAAGAAATATAAGCTTGTTTTGCTGATAATTTAGTCTCCCGAAAAGATCCTTGGGAAAAAATGAACAGAGAGTAGATTGTTCCAAGTAGGTGTCATTGTTTTCCCCACCCAGATTTTTCTTTTCTCTTGGTCCAGCAAGTGTCTCATTCCCTAGTTTAGGATTATAGAGATGAATGACTAGAATTTAAGATGATAGTTTCTCAGGAGGATTTATTATTGTTCCTAGTTTCTTGAAGTTGGGAGTTTTTCAGTCCCCAAGGCATGCATGTATCTCTCAAGGTGAAATTTCAGTCCTGTGAGGAACATGGAGGGTGCAGTCTTGATGTGAAAAGGTGACCTCTTGTTCATCAATTTATAGAACCAAGAAGTGCGTAACTCAGAGTATGTTAGGAAGTATTTCTGTGGGGTCCTTAACCACCACCACTGCTGGTGAAAATAATAATAGTAATAGCTGCTTTTATTTAAGCATAATTTTATAGATAAGGGAACTAAGATTTAGAGAGGAAAAGTAATTTTCCCAAATTATATTCTTGGATTATTAACAGAGTTTTGCATACAATTCAGGAAGAACTTGGGTGGGAAAAATATCCCCTCTCTGCATTAACCTGTAATAATTAGAGAAAGAGTCCAACTAACTCTTGTGTTCCTTTCAGTCATGAAAGGAAGACATAACCCACGGTAGTCATAGTATTCATATTTCTGTCAGTAATAGGAATGGTGGTAATTTTATATAATATTACAGTTGTTAATATCTTGAAATATTATTCACACCCATCGTTATGTCAAATTTTGGGGGACTTATTAAATCTGCCTCTAAACTTCATTATATAATGCAGTAATAGAGAAGCAGAAATATTAGTATAGCGTTTTTTTTGGTGGTGGTGGTGAACACAGGAAGTTTCACATTCTAGGCGAGCACTGTCCCACGGAGCCACATCCCCAATCCTTTTTAAAACTTTAAGACAGTGTCTGGCTATGTAGCCCAGGCTGGGCACAAAGTTGTAATTCTCCTGTCTTAGTCTGCCATGTAACTGCATTGCAGTCAAGTGCCACCATGCCCTGGTCAGTATAGCATAGTTTTTAAACTAATCTGAGAACTTTTGACATTATTTCCATAACATTTTTTTTTCATTCTGTAATGTTGTGTATTTTACCTTATGCTTTAAACAAATTTAATACTAGGGTCAATCATTTGCTGGGGAGATGCATGATATTAAGAAAGGAGGGAGAGAAAGAGGGGGGGGAGAAGAGGAAGGAGGAGGAGGAAGAGGAGGAGGAGGAGAAGAAGAGGAAGCTACAGGCCCAGAGGGTGAGGAACTGGGAATCAGGAGGGACTCTAAAAATTGTCAAACTCTGGCTTAGTCCTTCAATCAAATCCAAAGTGCCTTGATGGTTTGAGAATAAATCCATGAGTTCCTTTTCCTATTACTGCCAACAGAGGGAATTAAAAATCATCAGCCACTTTTGTAATATTTATTGATGCCAATTATGTGTTGGTTTCTATCCCAGCATGGAAAGAGAAGATGATCAGTAATATTTATGGGGACATTATAATGTGAAGCTATTGACACAGGCAGTGAAAAGAAAGGAAGAAAATGACTGAGTTCTTTTCTAGGCAAACACAACCCAATAGGGCAAAATATGGGAACCCTAGATCCAGGCAAGGAACTTGCGGAAACAAAGGTGCAGTGGAAACTGGGTGGCATGGACTCCTCTGACAGCATGGGATGGCAAAGCCTAGGAGAGAGGGAATTGGCCAGGACCATGAGGACTAGGCAGGGAGGTGGATTTGTGACATGGGGGAAGGGCTCTAGCCATTCAGGAAGAGGCCGAGTGGTTTTGGGAGAACTATGTAAATAGCATATGTAAATGTCATACCCCTCACAGTGGCTTCCAACTCCTCCCAGAGTTTGGAGCCCACGGCCTCTCCTGCTTTCTCTCCCTTGGGAGCCCCAGTCCAGTTGCTATTCTTTCAACACCCTAGGTCCACTTCTGCCTCCGGGCCTTTGCACCTGCCCTTTCTTCTGCCTAAAACACTCTTCCCTCAAATACCCTGGAAGCCTACTTCCTCATCTTTTTGTCTTTAAGTAGATGCCAACTTTAGAGTAGGCATTTTTATAGACCCTGTTTAAAATCACAATCTGGGGGCCGGGCATGATGGCTTATGCCTGTCATCCCAGCACTTGGGAAGCTGAGGCAGGAGGATCGCTGTGAGTTGGAGACCAGCCTGGGGTACACAGTGAGTTCCAGGTCAGTCTCAACTACATAGTGAGACCCTGTCTCAAAAAACGAAAATAAATAAATAAATAAAACAAACAAACAAATAATAAATAAATAATAAAATCACTATCTGCCTCCTCACCCGAGCATTCCATCCTCATTTCTTGCTTTAGTCCTCTCTAAAATACTGATCATCACCGACATACTATCTCAGCGGTTCTTAAACTTGAGAACTGAGTGGAATTCTGGTCAGTCTGCTTGTTCCATCTGCTGGGCCAGAGTCCAAAACCCTAATGCAGTAGGCCTGGGCAGGGCGCAGGAAGAATGTGCGTTCCTAACAAGTTCCTGAAGGGTGCTGCCGATGCTACCAGTTGGGGCAAGGAAGCCCTGAGAACCAGTATATTACAAAGGTTGTTTCTGTCGCCTGTCTGTCCCCACTAGAAGGTAAGCTGTCTATGATAGGGATTGGGGTGTTTCTGTTGGTTCATTGCTGGCCTTCTGGTGCCTGGAATGGTGCAGAGAGTGCACTCAGCTGCAGTTGAGGAGACAAGCAGACGTGGGACGCTGGAAGGTGAGCCGTGGGAGAGAAGTTTGAAGAGGAAAGTGTCGGCCATTGTTCTGGGGCCTCGGGATGTTACCCAGGGTATCCTCAAACCTGTGAGCTCCAGTGAGCCTCTTGCTTCAGCCTCCAAAGTAGCTGAGGTTACAGGACTATGCCATCACACCCGGCTGCGGCCATACTCTCAATAAACTGGTACAGTAGCAGTGCTATTAGTAGGAATATAACACAGAGAATCAAAGCTACCTACTATGTAGTGAAGGCTCCCACTGTGCCTGGCCATTTGACAACAAGGCAGGGAGAGGCTTTATGGCTTTGCCTAAGATCACAAGTATATGTAGTAGGTGGCTTAGGTCTGCCTGATTCCGAAGAGGTGGCTACGTTATGCTGCAAAGCCATTTAAATGCTGACTTCTAAACGTCTTATTTCAAAATAATTGTAGAGTATGGCAAAGGAATTGCAAACATTTCAGGGTTCCCATATGCCATTCACCCAGGTTCTTCTGATATTAGCATCTTACCCAATCATGGGACATTTATCAAAAGTCAGCAGTTAAAGTCGGTATAGGACTAGTAATTAAACTACGGACTTTATCCAGATTTCATCTGGTTTTCCATTATAATATGTTCTGCCTGTTTCTGGGATCCACTCCAAAGCACCACTGTACACTGTGTTCTGGAGACTCCCTTTGGGCTGCTCTCAGTGTGGGGCAGAATGAGGTGCTGAGCTACTGGAAAGCCCCAGTGCAGTGCTGCTCTTGAGGTGCCCACAAGAAGGAACAGGCCCAGAGCTACAGGATTCCCCCAGAGGGGGGCCTGCTGGGGTGCAGGGAGGCTCCTGGCATTCTGAGAACCAGAGGAAGGCAGCCTGGCAGCCCAAGCTTGGGGCATCAGGCGGGAGCTCAGAGTGAAGAGAGACTGAAAAACCTCTGATTATCAGGAGAGGTGATGGCAACTGGGGGAAGAGATAGAAAGAGACTGGTCAGGCAGTGCCCAAACCTGAGGCAGGACCCATAAGTGCTGGGTACTGATGAGACTATCTTCCAGGCTGCTGATGCTGGGAGGCAAATGTTCAAACTGGAATCTTCTGGCAGGAGTTTATCGATCAGATGCTTATCCTTTGTTAATTATCCTAATTGTTATATGATGCTATTTTGTCATATTTACAAATGGGAAGCAGTAAAGGATAGTAATTAGTAGGATGGCATCTGGATGAAAACCATCTGGGCTGGAATCCCACTCAACTCTGTCTTTTCTCAGCTAGTGATTTGGAACTTTTCTTAGATCTTTACGCCTTGTTTCTCCCATCTGTCAAATGGGAATACAAATCCTATCACATAAAATATCAGTCAGCTTTTCCACTGGTGGAATAAAATAGCTGACAGCCACACCTTAAAGGAGAGGAAGTTTAATTTGATTCAGGATTTCAGAGGACTCAGTCCATGGTCAGCTGGTTCCAAGACATAAACAGGATGGCCAAAGGGCACGATGGAAGAAAGGTGCTCAGCTCACGGCATTTGGGAAGCAGAGAGAGGAGGAAAGAGAGCCAGAGCAGAAGGGGCCAGAGACCAGACAGAGTCCCCAAGATCACATCTCCAGTTACCTACCCAAGCACACCCAGAGTGTGCTTTCCTAATCTCCTAGTACCTCTTAAACCTCTCAAGTTGACAACCAAGACTAACTGTCATGCACAGGGCCGTAAGAATTAAGTGAAATGACCGCAGTCCCTCAGCACGTGACAGTCAGTGACCATCAGCCACTATAGTACATGTGTTTGTCCACCTCACACCATGCCTGTATTTCTGAGAAGAGAGTCAAGATGCCTGAATCATACTTTCAAGACTTTTCATGTGTGTGGCCTCATTATACCTTCGGTATATTATCATACTCATTTTATAGATAAGGAGAACAGAACACAGCAAAGGTAAATAACAAAACTACGATCTCTTTGTAATCAAGGAGAGAGGCCAAGATTTTGGTTTAAATTCCCAAATACTTTATGCCACTACTGGAACACTGACCAAGGTCAATTAATGTTAAGGAACAGTTATAAAAATAATGAACAATATGTTCTTGGGTCCTATCTTTAGAACTTTAGGCTTTTAGAGGCTTTTAGATTAGCCTTTATCATCAGTTCTACCCCATAAATATTTTATGAGTTTGCCTTTCTGTGGTGGAATGTCAGACTCGGGACTATTAGGCAACTCACAAATGTAGGACAACTTTCTTTACTGAGTTCCAAGAAGCCCCTGGAATTTGAAAATTTGTCATCTTTCATAAACATTTCACAGATTTGGACATTGGAGATGGGCCTTAGTTGTTAAGCAGACCAGAATCAACTCCTTATGCGACTTTAAGGGAGTTACTCGCCATTTAGGGCCTCAGTTTGTACTGATCTCAGAGTTGAGTTGCAGAGAGAGAGAGAGATGAAAGACCTACACCTTGCATAGATCTTAACTTCCAAACAGGGTTCATTAAACATGAGTTCTCTTTTCCCACTCTCAGTGAGGGTTGAAATTTTCATTGCACTGAAGATTTCCAATGCTGTAGGTGGCCTGATGTAGTCACAAAGGGCAGTGTTGGACAAGTAGGCTGGACAGACACCATCGAAAAGTGAGTTCTGACATCAGCTGACTTATCTATGCTTGGACCCCAGAGTATCCTATAACACTTACATGTCTAACATGGGTTCAGGATGTTTGTCTCAGTGAAATTTCAAATTTGTGTGTGTCGGGGGGTGTTAAAGGAATAGCTGGAAAGTACTGTAAAATAAGCAACAACCAAACTTATGTTAAAAAGCGAGTGCTTTGTACACACACTCATGAGCTGGCTGGCCTTCTGAGCTGAATCGCCAAGACGTCCCTTGGAAGCACGGCTTGTTTTCAGCCATTAGCGTATGCACTTAACGTGGAAGTTACTAGAAGTTACCGCGTTACTAGAAGGGTGGAGCTGGCAGGGCGGCTATGGTGACAGATCTGCTGCCAATCACTATTTAAGCAGAGGCCCCTGAGCAGGTGTGCCCGGTGAGGTGCACAGGTGCAGGAGGGGCTCTGTTCTCCTCGCGTGGCCCTTTGATGCTACCCAGAAGAAACTGCCTACTTCCGGGTTTCTGTTGGCGGACAGGTCAGGGTCCATAAGCGACCCCACGTCCAGGTGTGTCGCGGATGCTGCACAGACTCAGAGCTGCACGTTGTTCAGGCAGCTCGTTTAGCTGTGTACTTGAACTGGCAGGAGCTATTCGGACAATGCTGTATTTACTTTCGGGGACTGGCTACCCTTATTTGACTTTCCTTTAGTGTTCAAAATGAATTCTAGGTTTGCCTCCAACAGTGGACGAACATGGTTCTCACTGAGTGTAGATGTTTGGTTGCCACGCGGGTTCCCACTGTCATGAAGCCCTAGGCTTTTGGCTAACGCATGCTAGTAACTGGTGACAGCCTCTCTATTCCGGACATTTATTTCTGATATTTACTGACTTTAAGAGTGGAAGTGGGCATCCAAAGACTTGTATTTGAATCATTTTTGCCCCTAGTTCACAAAAAGGAATAGAACACTGATTGAGCCTTTCCCCAAATGTGCACAAATCCATTAAGTGGAAATTATTATTCCTGTTCCATTTACTCCCTAAGAATTTGGTGGAGATAAAAATAGATCGCATAGGCAAGGTAGTTTAAAAAAATAGGTGAGACCCAGAAACGTAGGTTGGGGAAGAGTTTTAACAGAAAAGCCTTTTGGCTTCAGATGCCACTTAGGCAAAATTCATGATACTTAGAAGGGTCAGTGCAAAAGATTACCTTGGTCCTATGATAGAAAAAGGTTTACTAAATGCTTGAACAATGTGAAACAATAGGTGAGGGACATGTTTAACCTTCTTATGGGAATGATCAGGCTTCACAAACTTAATGGCGGTCTTTTAAAGAGTAAAAATCCATGAGTTATACCTCTGTGTTGTCCACAGTGTATCAGGGAAGATCTCAGTGTGGCTACACTCAGATGTGAAAACAAAAAAAATGGTGCTGAAAGGGACATTTCCATGCTTCTAACCCCTAATTCTCATTTAGAGAGAATGAGTCTGACTCTCGGGAATCCGAAACATGTCCGAGCTCTGCTGGCTGAACAACCAAAACCTTCACCAAAATGCAATACCTGCCACTGTGCCAGCGGATTGTGTGTCGTCCTGGTTAAAGACTGATTTCCCAGGTCCCCAAATTAATTCGTTTCCTTCAAGTGGGGTCTTCCTGAAATGCTTACCCACCAACAGTGAGCAAAACAGGTGTGAGCTTTAACATGACTTCCCTATTTTCCCTGACCAGCACCGGACCCAGGCTTTGGGGGTTCCTGAAGCTTTTTAAATTTGTGGGGAGACTGTCATAAAAATAATCAAAATTATGACTAAAAACTTAGGTACATATATGGGTATTTATTTCAATGAAGAGAAGGATCATGAGAAATTTAAAGTTTACAAATATTGCAGATCCAGAAAAATAACAAGATATTTTCATTTACTACCCAGCACAACTCCAAAATCTTTTTCTTAAACACAAAAAAATTTTTTTTGGTCACAAGCTCTCTGATCATTGTCTTCACTTGATTATAGCTTTGTGATATTATTACCTAAAAAGAGGAAAAACAATTTAACATTTCCCTTGAAATGGTTGAGAAAAATTCATTATCATTATTATTAATTTTAAAAGAATTTCTTTTAGCTTCCCAACTCGTTATAGCAAAGTCATGTACATTTTTATACTTGTATTCACATTTGAAAAAAACATTTACCATTTCTATCATAGATAGGCACGTTGCATATGAATGAACTACCTTTGGCATTCTGCTTAGAGCACCTTCCTATAAAGAGGATGTCTCGCAAGCTCTGCTGCTAACCACTGCCATTAAAATGACAACAAAGGAGACTCATTTTGTTATTGCATACACTACATTATGAAGTATCTTCCTGATAAGAGGAGGCTCCCATTTTGACAAGGTGCTGTGAAAGCCAAATTATTCTCCTGTAAGTTTCTATAGCTGTCATTTCTTCTGCTGTTTGAAAGGATTTTCAAACTTGTTACATTTCCAATGCATTTTTAAAAAGCCAATGTCATTTTGGTCTTTAACTCTCAATAGAACTCAAGCTAATGAATCCACCCCACCATTCCTAGCTTATCACTCACTTTCTCCTCCTTCTGAAGACTTTGGTTTTGCTTGTTTGGACTCTTGCAATAGTTTTATTGCTGTTTTTTGTAGTACTTGCAATTGAACCCAGAACCTTTGCACTGAACTATGTCCCCAGCTCACTCATTCAGTCACGAATCTATGCATGCACGCATAGATTGATTGATTGACTGATTGATTCGTTGACTTATTCATACATATTTTGAAACGGGATCTTGCTAAGTCACTAAATTACTCAGGTTGAGCTCAAAATTTTGATCCTCCTGCCTCAGTTCCCCGGTATAGTCAGACTATAGGTGTGGACCCCTGTGCCCTGCTTGTTACAGCCTCTTAATAGAACTGTGGGAATCCAGGCTTCCTGCCTCATTCCATCCTATACTTCATAATCATGTCAGTGCCCCGTAGCTGCCCTTGAGAAGGCTCTACCTGTTCTCAAGAGCTTTACTGATTCTTTCCTAACAAGGAGCTCTTCGCCCTTGAGCTGAGACCCTTCCCCAAAACTCCACCAACAGAAATCTTCCCTTTTTCCTTCAAACCCAGCTCAGCCCACACCCCTGCATGCAGTCTGTCCTGTTGTCCTCAGCCACAGGACTGTGTCCTTACATTTTACAGCCAGAGCCCTTTGGCTAGTTCTTATTCTCCAGCGTTTATGAGGGTCACCCTTGATTGTGGTTGTGCATTTGTCTCTCCCCCCTGTGGGATCATATTTCTTGAGGGTTTGCATTCCTGGCCTCCTGCAAAGTCAAGGCACATAACTGGTGCTTAGTATCAGTGACAAACTTCACCACTGATATTTTACTTAACAATCACAGTAATTGCATTCTTGCCAGTGACTGGTTTCAGCAGGTACCCGGTAGAACTTTCTGTGATGATGGAAATGTGACCACTGTGACTTAGCTGCTTTCACTTGTATGGAATTTGGATTAGTTTAACTTAAATAGCCTCATGTATTAGATAGTGTAGGTCAGGTGACAGTAGGTGACTTACTCTTGCAGTTTAAAAAAATCCAGTCAGTCCTTCCTCCCACAGGGTGGTGTCACACTTGGGTATGGTGCCCAGGACTGTGGGCTTTCCTGCCACCTCGACGGTGCAGTGGGGACCAAGCCAACACACGGAGGGAGGGCAGCAGAGGGAGGATGGGAAGATCCCAGGCTGCTGGCTCAGTAAACCCTGGAGCTGCCTACCCTGGGACTATTCAGTATGTGAAAAAAGACATTTTCCCCATTGTGTGAACCATTTGGATTGGCAATGTTTGCATATTGCAGCCAAAAGCATCAAACTGTGTAGTGCCATCAGGCTAGATCGAGTAGAAGGAGGGGTGGGATATACTGTGTATATATGATATTTTGAAATCTCATAAAGACTAGAGAAAGGAATGTAAGAGAAATATGCAAAAGGAAACGGTTATGGAAACATTACGCGTCTTAAGTCTGAGCTTGTCTAAGTCAACAAGTTGGGTGTGAGAGTTACCGCTGACAGGAACAATGCAGAATTCTGCAGAGGGTATCTGTGGCTTTGGCTTAACAGGGACTTCTTGTGCTCCTTCATTACAGAACTCTGTTCTGTGGGGAGCCATTCCTTGCATTTCAGGTAAGGCTGACCTTACATCCCTGGTTACAGGGATGAGCTGAAACAGGGATATGACAGTGAGTGGCTGAGGAACAGGTATGGGAATTTTCATTCATTATTTGGTACATGAAGGTACACATTAGGACTACACAGAGGTACTAATAAACTAAAAACAAATTGGTACATGAACAGTATAGACACTGGAAAATAGGAAAGGGGCATCCTTCTTTGTGAGGCCCTGTGGATATGGGGCGTAAGATTTACAGAGTCGTTTGAAAAAGAAAGCCAATCTCAGACTCTGCTTGGAAATTGGGCTGAGAGACACAGCCCTGGTTACCCCATCCGAGCCCCTGGCTGCAGCCGCGCCCAAAGCCAAAGCCTACTTTTAGACTTCTGATGCACATAAGCACATTGTTCCCAGACATGCTACAGCCGGCTTCATGGACTTTCCTTCTATGGAAAGAGTGCTAACAGATGCAGCAGGGAATCAAGGCAAGAGGCAGCCCCTGGGTCTATTATCAGAGTAGGACCAAGTGAAGAGAAATGTGTGAGGTAAGAACTGTTAAGGCATCACTAGGAGGCCTGAGACAGCAGGCTGTTGCCTGACAAATAGACAAATACGAGTTTGGGACAAACTAATCTGCTTTCCATGCCAGCTTATCTACTGACTAGCTTGCCATATCTGAGAAAGGCAAAATTCTGGGTCTTAGTTTGGCCCTCTATGAAATAGGGGAAGAGCTACTTACTAGCAAGTTAGTTCTGAGATGTAAGAGGTTGTATGCGAATTCCTGCGCAGGACTTGGCACACTGCGCTCCCTTAGTAGCTGCTGGTTTCTGCTACCATGGACAACAAGTATCAAAGTTGCTGCAACAAAACTATCCCAGTGCTGAGCTCTGTTCTCCTCAGCCTCCAGAATGTGAGCTAATTAGACTTCTATTCTTTATCTATTACCCAACCTCATGTATTTTGTTATAGCAACAGAAACATTGAGATGCTCCACCAGTTTGCAGGTTAGCAGACACTCATTTAGAGAGATTAGTGACCCGTGTACACCATTAGGATAAGGCCAAGCCGGACTGGCTTTTAGCTGTAACTCTTGGGGGAGAAGAATGCCTAGTGTCATTGTTTATTCTTAGAATTTTCTTTCTTGGGAGAATTATGAAAGTCATACTGTTGTTTTGAATTTCAAACCAGTTACCTGTGTAACTGGAGAAACCATAAGATGCTCCATAGGAAAAAGGACACCAACCCAGTGAATGCCAGAATGGAGAGTGGATCCGCTTACAGTCCTTCCTGGGATACAGGTAAGGTGATGTTCTTGAACTTCACACAGGCTGATCCAAAATGGAGATCTTCGATGAAATTAATTTAGATTATATTGAAAAGGAACTCTTTCAGAATTGCAGAGCTAGAAAGGAAATTTGTGCCACTTTTCTTTTATCATTAGAAAAATCCTCAGTCCAAGCCCAGACGCTCATGATTGTCATTTCCATTCCCCTCTAACGCCTTCTTTATTTCTTTTATAATTTAGATGATCCTAAGCTGTTTAGCTGCACCATCTTCACTGGGGCATAAATGAAACTCTTTGGTCCTGTGGAAATAGAAAAACTGCAAAGGCATTTGGCAGTCTCTCTATAGCAGTGAGAAAGTATTTGCCATCACTGCTGATAGCAACAACAGGGGGTGATTTCAGTAAGTGAAATGGGAGGCAATAGCTAAAAAGAATGTGACAGGTCTATGTGTATTAGCACGGGAAGGCGTTGATGGGATATTCATACATTAAAATGTTAACTTGCAGAATAACAATAGAATGCAGTTTTTTAAAAAGGAAAAGAGCTTGAAGGAAGAAAGACTAACTCTTCATTCGTTGTAAATTAGGTTTATTTGGAGTAGAGCAACAGAGGACTCTGACTTCTAGCTTTATACATTTCGACAAATTGTATGGTTTGGGGCCTTTTAAAAGTTCTTTTACAGTGAGCCAGTTTTATTTCTGTACTCATAAAAATTTTTAAGTTGAAATTAATGTTGACCTGATGAAATCTCAAGAGGACATGCTAAACTACTACCATTGTGAATATCACTTTCTGCGTTCTATGCACTTTGTTATGTGATTGTTTGTAGAGCTCAAGACTGTTTTTCGAATGATCTTTTTTTTTTTTTTTTCAGTAATGGTGATCGAAGTCAGGGCCTTTCTCTTGGCAGCACCACTGAGCTAAATCCCTGGCCCAAAATGATCAGATTTTTAAGAAGTTTGACCCTTCATCTGACAGCCTGATGGCCTCTTATCTAAACCTGAAAAAATCTCTCCAGGATATTGCAGTTAAAACCAACTCTCTCTCTCATTTATGGTGTCAGTACCATGCCTGTGGTCACCAAATGGAATTGAAGCAAAACTAAATAAAAAAAAAATTCCTCCTACATATTTAGATAAAGTATTTACGTTACCTCCATTCTTTAACATTTATTCTGAAGCTGTCTCTTGCCAAGTGCTTTGTAGGTGAGTCCAGGCCTTTGTGCTCAGGGCAGCAAGAGTGACGGATGTCACATGGCCACACTTCTAGTGCTGCAGATGTGTTCTCAGCATCCTGTGCGTGTCTGCCTCATACACTGGGCCTTCAAAGTGGAGGACAGAGCTGGCTACCCAACCCCTAGAGGCTTACAGTCTGAGCAGCATAGAGTGACAGATATATAATGCAACCATAGATATAGATATATAGATATAGATATAATTTAATTTTTTCCTAGAAGTCACATAAAAGAGGAACAGGAGGAGCTTCCTTTTCAAATGCAAAGGAGAATAAGAAACGGAAGGAGGGAAAAGGGAGGGCAAGGAAAGGGGATGTAAAGAGAGAGAGAGAATGGAAGAAAAATTGGAAACAGAGCTTTTATAAATGGGAAAGGGACCAAGAGTTGGAAGGAGCAGGGAGGGATGAAAGGGAAGGGGCAGAGGACCAAAAAAAAAAAACAAGAATTAAGATGTATTATGTAAAGGTACCAACTCCCCATGATAAATGTAATCATTATGAACTGCAAGCATGTACTTATAAAAAAGACAAAAACATACCTAACATCTCTGTAATATTATTATTTCAACATGTAATCAAGATAAAATTATCATTGAGACATTTTACAATTTTTCATACTATGTATTTCACATTTAGTATGTATCTTGCCTGTATAAAGCATCTATATTCAGATTAGATCCAGTTCAAGTGCTCAATGCCACATGTGGCTGGTGGCTGCTGTGTCAGACTGGGTGGATCCGAGAGGAAGTTGGGCTCAGCAGCACCACACTAGGGGCACATCTAGGATGCTGTGGGGGAACAGACTCACGTTTGGGGTCGGATACGTGATGAAGAAAGACAGGAAGTCTTCCTAGAGGAAGAGGCACGTGAACGGAAGTAGCTGGAGGCATTGTGGGAATCCGGAGGTGGGACCAGCGGCTGGCAGATGAGCTCAGGGGCTTCTGACAGTCCAGTGACTTGACACCATGTCGTTAGAACGTAAAAATAAACTCAGAAAACATTTTTTTTTAAAAAAAGAAAATCTTTTAATAGAACAAGACTGAGATAGAAGAGGAAGTTTAGAAGAAGAGCTGGTAAAGAAGAAAGACCGCTTTTTCTTTCTTTTCTTTTTTTTTCAGCTTTAATTGAATTTATTGGTACATTTTAGGGATACAGTACAGTTACATTCATTGTTGGGATCTTGTACCTCTACATGACAGGTCTTGGTTCTCATTTTTTCCCCTTACCCCTGCCCTCCCTTCACCCCCTCCTCCCCTCCCCATCTACAAACACTTTATTTTATCTTTTCATTATCTCACATTTTTTTCTTTTCTTTCTTTTTTTAAATGCTTGTATATTAGCAATACAGAACAGTGTGGTTGATTTTGGTATATTGGGATGTGCTCATACCATTTTGACTATTCTCATTCTTGTTTCCCTGAGAGGGACGCTTTTCTACACAAAGGTAAACAACACGAGACCAGAAAAATGAGGAACATTTTCCCAGGTGGCAGTGGCAGGGTGGGTTTGGCCACTGCTGGGCCCCACAGCCAGGCCTTCTGTGCAGTGCACCGGCTGTAGAAGTGTCCCTGGTGGCCCTCTGTGGCTCAGCAGTGCTGTGCCTTTTCCAGCTGGGCTGTTGTTCAATAGTTACGTGAACATGCACCAGAGCTTGGTGAGAATGTGACACTGAAAAAGATTTCCCGGGATGTACCCAGAATTATGTCCCTAACGTGCCTGAGCCTTGCTGGGTGCCACAATAAGCCCCGTGAAAAATGCGGTCCATGCCTTCTGGGGAACCCTAATGCTAAGCTGGCCACACTATGGAAAGGGCACCTCTGCCCACAGTCCTGAGAATGCACACCACACGTGCTCGGCACCTGTCCCGTAGGTGTTATCCAAGCAGGACACCAAGGCACAGGGCGACCCTGGACAGGTCACTTACCTCTTTGGGTTTCCTCTGCTCCCCTGTGAGAGTAAGGGTTCACACTGGCCATCAGAAAATTCTGTTGTTCCAGGTTGTCTCTGCCTTGGGCCCTAAGGATGACAGCCACACATCCGATGCTTGGTCCATCTAACCTGAGAGCACCCTGCTTGCAGAAGCCTGGAGAAACCTGGTTTCATGCAACTTTACGCAGCCCCCCTCTTCCCGGCTTTGTGCTGCTGGTACTTTAAGAAATACAATATTGGCAAAATGGATTACGCTTAGAATAATTCCTGGGAACTGGGTGGACCAGTCTGGTGAGAAGCTGGGGCACCTTCGGTAATGGCTGGCCTCTGCCTCCCCACCAACCCTCCTTTCCCGGGCTGCAATGCGAAGACCAGGAGTCAGGCTGGGTCACAGGACGAGAGGTTAGAACCAGCTGAAGCTGCCCCGGACAGCTCTAGTGGATCCTTGTCTTGGCCTGGCTCACTAGAGCGTTAATAATGCAATAACACACAGCTTCTGGAGCACACAAAGGCTTTTGGAAAAAAGTCGGATAAAAGCCACTTTATTCCGCTCTTGCCCAGAACAGCGTACATCCATAGGTGTCTCCACAGTTGCTGGCCCCTGGTCTGCGGCTGCCCCTCCCCACCTTACTGACTTACTGAGGGAGAAACTGTAGACGGCGTAGAGTGGAAACCGCACCAAAAAGGCTCGCTTCAAAGAGCAAGCCAGCCAGAGAGCAGCAGACTGGAAAGCTGGGTGCGCTTCCTGCTCACCTGTCTTCTCAAAGCCCGCTGGGCCCTGCAGGATGCTGCACCCACTTCATCAGAGAGTCACTGCGGGCCCTGAATGTGTGACCCTGAACGCAGGGACGCGTGGGTGGCTGGGGAGGTGAAGCCATCCCTTCTCCCTGCTCTGCGCTGGGCAGGCTGTGGCAAACCTGCTAGAGGGGCAGACAGAGCCGTAGGACGTGCCTCCCCTCCCGCACCAGGGGCACCCTGCCCACCGGTCCCCCCTTACCCTGCCCTCATCTCTCTTCCTGCTCCCCAGATGGGGGTCCTCCCTGCCATTCTCTCACTTAACCCTCTGCAGGGTCCAAACTGAGAGCTGGATGGTAGATGGGGTGAACCAGATGGACCCTAGCACGTGCCTCAGTGCTGCTGAATAAGACAACAAGCCCAGAAAGCAAAGGAAACACAGCTGGCGCCACAGGCGGAGGTACTGATCCGTGTGCTTACTGTTCTGTGTGCAGCACCAACAAAGCGCTGTATCTGTAAACTCAACTGGCACCGTGAAGCCGGTGGGTCTTCTGAGGTGTGGCGGGAGGAGTGAGCAGCCACACTGTTAGGAACTGAAAAAGAAAACCTTGGTGGCTGCCCAAAAGAGGAGGGCTTTCCAGAGCATGCAGATCCGGTGGGTTTATTTTAGTTGGTGGACATGTATTTATCATGTACAACATAATGTTTAAAAGTATCCCTACATTGTGGGATGATGAAATCTAGCTAACAAATGAGTTACCTCCTGGTTACTCTTGGCCCAAGGTCTGCCATGTGTAGGACTCTAGAGCTTACTCCTCCCATCTCATGGTAAGGTGTATTCTGTGGTTAACATCTCTCCTTCTTCTCCAACCACCCACCCACCACTCTACCCTCTGGTAACCACTATTTCACGCTCTACTTTGGTGAAATCAACTTTTTTAGATTCCATGTATGAGTGAGGTCATGTGGCACTTATGTCTGTGCCTGGCTGATTTCATTTAACGTAATATCCTACAGGTCATCCATGCTCCCACAGATGACAAGATTATGACCTTTTGATGGTTGAATAGTATTTCATTATGTGTATATATACCACGTTTTCTTTATCCATTCACCCACGGGCTAAATCATGCACTTCATTGATTTCAAGTCTCATGCTTTTAGTAGTGCTTTCATAGCGTAGGAGTGCAGATGTCTCTTTGAAGTGCTGATTTAGTTTCTGTCGGATATATACTCAGCAGTGGGGTTGCTGCATCATATGGCAGTCCTATTTTTTTACATTTTGAGAGACTTCCGTATGGTTTTGCACAACGGCGACACTAATTTACGTTCCCACTAATAGTGTGGGAGGGCTCCCTCTTCTCCACCGGGTATTTTTTTCTCTTTAATTGTTTGCTGCGGAGTGGGCGATACCAACCTCTCTTCCACCTTGCCGTGCCACTGTCAGGAGATTTTTCCACTTCTCATGAGGGATATGTGAGCGGCTCTGGGGACCAGTCGAAGAGTTCCTGCGATCTGTGCTCATGCTGACACGATGAAGAAGGGCAGAGACCGCAGATGCCTGCTGAGAGGGCGAGGAGGCAGCCGCCAGGCGTCCGCATCTGATAGCTGGGTGCCATGTCAGAGTCTCAGGAGGCCCACAGCCCTCACACCATCAGGCCCACTTAGAACTGCTGGTGCCTTTACACCGGAATGCAGAGCTGCTTTCAAGGCGTGAGACGCAGCATTCACCATGGCTAGGGACGCAGGCGTCTCCCCAGGTGTGACCCACACTCAGCCCGCTCGCCCTCCGTAAAGAAGGATAAACTGGAGATATTTCTAGGTAAACGCGTGTATCCTGAGGCCATACTCTTAAGTGAAACAACCTGCACACACGTATCTAAATATCGCATTGCTTCTCTGGTACAAGAAACTGAAAGGGTACAGAAGGACCAAAACATGTAACCAATAATGTGAAATAGGAAGAACATGTTAAAATGGGAAAGGGCACCAGGGGAGGAGGAAAGGAAGGAAGGGAGAAGGGAAAAAGATAAGATGGGAACAAAGTGTTTAAATAAGGAGGGGGCAAAAGTTTGAAAGGAGGGGAAGGGAATGGGACAAAAATAAGAATCAGGATATATCA